AAATAAAATGCCACTAATGAAAATTAACTGCTAACAGCTTTGTATCTCCATCGGATTCAGATCTTTACAATTTGATGGAGGAGAGTTGGACTTAATACAACTAATAGCAATAGAACGATCATACGATAATAATTTTTGGCCTTTAAACTTTACTCTTTAAAATGTTTCTAAAAATTTATATGCTTTTGTGCTACGATTATCCAATGCCCACTTACTTGTCCAAGCATTATACAAGTCACAGGGAGAGGTCACTAGAGTTCTAGTTTCCTAGAGGAATTTCCATTCAAAGTTTCCATACAAGCTCATGAGGATGAAACCCCAGCATTGCATTTAGGCTCCACAATATCCTGTAGGGAGAGCTGAATATTCATTATGCTAATAAAATATGCCTTCCCCCTGCCCCACAGACTCAGATCTTGAGTCCCTGAAGAGCTGAAGAGACAATCTACACATCATCCAAAGGGTCTAAGGTAGATTTGACATTTGTCTCTCCAGAACATGCTCCAGGGAAATGAGGGAACAGCAACAAAAACAGCTTAGAATTGGTTGGAAACTTACCATATGCCAGGGACTGTCCAGACAGCTGTACTTGTCTTCACACAGTCAGTGCTCTAAACTGCCCCAAGGAGTAGACGACGTTACTAGTAGTATTTCCATGGGACTAATGGAGAAAGAAGGCACAGAGATGTTAAGGAACTTTCTCAGCATCACCCAGCAGTGAGTGGTGGAGCCAAAGGCCACGGGCATGATGAATGCTCTGCTGTGCTGCGTATTTGTGCAATCAAGGGTAAGATCCAAAGGCTACTGTAAAATATTTAGAATTTTACAACATGGGACTTCACAGGCAATAGACATTTGATTTCTTCACAAATCTTTAAGAGATGGAGACTTGAAAGGATTGGTTTGGGTATCATTTGGAGATGGTGCCCTGAGTGTGTCATTACCACAACAGGCAGCATGTCAGTGTCGGTCTCCTCACCTGAAGGTCTTGGGGTTATACATCAGAGAACACACGAAACCTGTCCCTGCTATACCTTCACAAAGGAGAAAGATGCTGTGTAACTGGGAAAGGAGACTATTCCCCTGCTCTAGTATCGCTCAGACATGTTTCCATGAAGTCAGAACTTAGGATCTTAAAAGTGCAGATTCCAAGGCCCGGCACGGTGGCTCAAGCCTGTAATCCCAGCACTTCTGGAGGCCAAGGCGGCTGGATCATCTGTGGTCGGGAGTTCAAGACCAGCCCGACCAACATGGAGAAACCCCATCTCTTTTAAAAATACAAAATTAGCCAGGCATGGTGGCATGTGCCTGTATTCCCAGCTACTCGGGAGGCTGAGGCAAGAGAATTGTTTGAACCCAGGAGGTGGAGGTTGCAGTGAGCCGAGATCATGCCAGTGCACTCCAGCCTGGGCAGACAGCAAAACTCTGTCTCAAAAAAAAAAAAAAAAAAAAAAAAAAAAAAAAAAAAAAAAAAAAAAAAAAAAAAAAAAAAAAAAAGTGCAGACTCCAGGAATCACACCCAGTGAATCTCAAGTAGTGTGGCCACAATGGTGTCCTAGGATCTGGAAATTTGCTGCTCAGCCTAAGGAACTTGCAGAAAGCTTATTAAATCCCTTTGGTAGCAAGGCTGTCTGTCTCTTCCCAGGACAGACATGAGGTTGGGAAGTGACCTTAGAGCACACAGAACACAGGACATGATGAACTCAGTGTGAGACTCACCATAAGGGTAAGGCAGAGGGACTTCTGAGAAGGCCTCACAACGCCATCTGGCCTTTCTCCTTGAAGGCCTCAGTTTATCTCGAATCCCTTCGCTTCATGGGCAGTGAATGAAGGGGTGCCAGGAAATGACCTTTTAGATCCCAAAATGGCATGGAGTCCTCTCAGGGACCATTGAACACATAGGACGGGCGGAGACGCAAGCTACTGTCCCCCTCCCACCAGCCTTGGTTTCCTTCTTGCACTGTCATTTCCTTCCATGGGAGCCTAGAGCAATGACAGGACTTAGGGCCAATGTCTTCCCTTCACTAACAGACACCTGCCCCTCACCTGAGGAGTTCGACTCCCTTCTCCTCCCTTCAGCTGTCCTTCTCCTTCTCCCACAGCAGACAGCTGTCCTTGGCAGCCTGACAACCTAGCCTGACCCCTTCCTCCCGTGTCCCAGCCTGGAGAGGGCTGTGCTCGCCAAGGAGGACATCAGTCCCAGGATCCCAGAGCCATGACCACCACAGAACCATCCTGAGCATCAGTGTCCTATGGCAGTGGCTGCCCTTTGACATGAAGCTTCACCACCCACCACGGCTGGCCTTGAAACATTTTCTTATCACAGAAAGTAACACAGAGGAACAAGGTTCCCACAACCCCTCCTGGGGAACATTGTGTCCTTCCCCATGTTACCGTGCTGTTTCCTCTGTACAGACTGCAACATTCCTATCCTTTTGATGTAATTAAGAAATTCTAGGATACTTCTTTTAAATCCTAAACTTGTGGTTTATAGTCAGAATATCATCACCACTTTGGGGCATTTTGGAAATTTCCAAGGGCAGCTTTGGATGTTCATGTAACTAGAAGCAGCTCCTGGCATTTGTGGGGTGAAGGTTACAGGGAGGCAAACAACTTTTTCCAGCGTCTTAAGTAAACTGGATTTTTTTCCATACACATCACTTCCCTGTGAACTGAGGGAGGATTGTGTGTTGCTTCACCTGGAAATTTAGAAAGATTTATTGATTGCTTTAGAAATCACATCACTTGCAGGGCATTCCATTCTTGGATTCCACTCTGACACAACATACCAATTATCAATTTGCTTCGTAGCTCTGCATGCCTGGGGGAAACAGTAAGGGGAATCCAACTTACCTACCAAAGGAGTCATTTCCAGGATAAGCTGTTCGTCATTGGGGAAATCAAGTGGGAGATGCTGGTAGTGTGATCTCTCGTGAGTTGATGAACACACCAGCTATGCCCGTTGCTGTTACTGCACTGAAGCTCTCTTTGCAGGTGTATCTCCCTCACCAGGCTCCGTGGTCTCTCCTGGAAGGTTGGCAACCCACCTTGTAGATCCCTGTATCCTCAGGATGGGACAGGTGACCTTACAGGCAAAAGGAAGACAGGGAACACTTGTGGAATTGTGATCTCCACATGGTTGGATGACCAAACGCTGAGTCACAGTGATGAGCCCTATGGATGGCAGTCTGCAGAAGGTATATAAAGTGGCTTTACTGCAGTTTAAAGACACAGATTTCATTTAATAATCCCAATTAACTATGGATTTTTTTTTTTTACAAATGGCAGAATCCTACAGCAAAATGACTAAGATCTGTGCAAGTTCTCTGGGTGTTGAAAACTGCGTTCCTAGTCTCGTGCCACATCAGGGCAAAGTAGTCTGACTCTTAGCCAGGCAATGCCACACAGATTGAGGAATGAGTCTGTCCTACACATGGCTCACAGACATTCTTTTTGATGTCTACACAGATCATCTCTATCCTACTGGGTCTGGAGTGAAGGAGATAAAACTCTTAGCAGCTTTGTAACAAAAGAACAGGTAGTAAGAAAGACAGCAATGCCCCCTTTTAAGAGAGAACGAAAATGAAGACAGCAGTGAAGTGTGGTGCTGGCATCAGGGGTCTCCCAGTAGGTCAGCACACAGAAAAGCAGCAGGAGTACAACTGGGAGTCCAGGGAGGGGCACTGGGGAGGGACCAAGACGAGTGTCCAGAGCAGCAAGAGGAAGAGAAAGGGCAAGTCTCCTCTCATGAGAAAGGAGCTTATCTAGACTCACCCAAGGCAGTCAGGTTGCTGGGTTCATATGGTCAATGCTATGGGTGTCAGTTGGGTGACTGCTACACCTTTCACCTACAAAGAAAATAACCTCACTGGCCAGGTCACATTTGTGCAGTATTTACTGAGGGCCCACTTTATTCAGTGGTGCCTTCAGTGAATTGTCCAATGCAGCCCCAACCCAAGGCCAAGTCTCAGTTTGAGGAATAAAATACTGTCCAGGGAGCCGCAAATGGTAGCTCACACCTCTAATCCAGGCACTTTGGGAGGCTGAGGTGGGAGGATTGCTTGAGCCCAGGAGTTTGAGACCAGCCTGAACAACAGGGTGAGATCACCATCTCCACAAAAAGTTTTAAAAATCAGCCAGGCACGATGCTGTACACATGTGGTCCAGCTACTGGGCGGGGGGCTGAGGTGGGACAATCACTTGAACACAGGAGGTCGAGGCCAGTGCAGTCTGTTCTGGGTGACACAGTGACACCATCTCGAAAAACAAAACAAAACAAAAAGACAACCATGGTGCGGGGGACAGAAGGGGAGCTTCTGACACAGAGGAAGTCAAAACCACCATAGCCCAGGTGGTAGGAACAGCTTCTCCCAGGGTGTGGTATGATATATATTATCTGCACCAGTTGCAGATGAGGTAAGAGGATCAGAGATGTTAAGCAACTCACTCAAGGTCACACATCTAGGGAGTGGTGGTGACCATTTCTCACTGAGGTCTGCTGAAATACAGAAGTCACTCCACTATTTGTGACACCAATTTCTCTTTATATTGCCACCTGTTTTAATTCGCATTCACTGACATATACTTACCTGTGGCTCCCCTGACCTTCATATTCTCATAAGCGGCTAAATAAGGTATACATTTTGTTTTAGCATATCAGGCCTTTCCCTTAAAGAACCTAAATTTCCCGTGCCAGGCACGATTGCCCAGCTTGGAACCAAACACTTATCTGGAATTCATCTTTCAACCACACACTAAGGACAGCAAATGGATTACTGCCACGTAGAGTTAACTCAGGTATTTCACGAATTCTGAACTATGATTTGAAATGTAACCAATTCCAACCAGAAACAGTAAAAACAGTGCTTCCCTATGAAAAGCATTCACAGGACGTTTTATTAAATGCCAAAGCATTCCAGGTAAGACACACTGCCCCTTTGACAGGGAGTTGTTGAAATTCTGCTCCTAAGAATACGGAAGTCTTGGCTGGGCACAGTGGCTCACGCCTGTAATCCCAGCACTTTGGGAGGCCGAGGCGGGCAGATCACAAGGTCAAGAGATCGAGACCATCCTGGCCAACACGGTGAAACCCCATCTCTACTAAAAATACAAAAAAATTAGCTGAGTGTGGTTCCATGCGCCTGTGGTCCTTGGGAGGCTGAGGCGGAAGAATGGCTTGAACCCTGGAGGTGGAGGTTGCAGTGAGCTGAGATTGCACCATTGCACTCCAGCCCGGTGACAGAGCAAGACTCCGTCTCAAAAA